AGGCTTAATCCGAGTAGATACTCTGCAGATGGATTTGGGGCTTCTATTGTCCTCCATGGTCTTCTACAAATTAGATGTTTACAATTTAAACTCAGACACTTTTCCCTTCATAATATTTGGAGTTTGTTATCATCATCTTTGGATCATTCAGGCTGGTGCCCTTCTTCAATATGGATGTAGTTGATGCCTCACTTAGATGGCTGCGTGTTTGACTATAAGCCTTTAAGACCCCAGACACTATTCCTGTTGATTGTTGGGCACCATCTGCTTTCTTCACCACACTTTGCTGTAGCACCCTTATCTTCAGTGATCTCTTCATGAAGACGAGTATCCAGCAGGGCCATGGTATAAGAACTAACTCTTCTTGGATTGGGGCTAGAATGAAATTGTAGCACAAAATCAATCTGCTTGTCCGTGGGTTATGAACGACTCTGGTTTACTTTGACAGTCATATGACAAAAACAAGAACAACAACATCAACAACAAAAGAAAAGCATTGTCAAGAATCTCACTTGAGTATAAGGCAATTGCAGTGAAAACATCAGCAATTTTTCCAATGGCTTGGAATTTAAGGTGGCATATCAGTTTTGATTTACTCCTGGCTTTAATGTTGCGGGTTTGAGTAAATGAAGACCACTACAATGTTCGATTTACATTATGTGAAGTCTTTATTTTATTAATTAAAAATTTTTTTTGTAGTCCATCCAAATTTAGTTTAATTTTTTTTCATTAAAAGATCATTTTATTGGGAGCTCTTACAGCTCTTAAAACAATCTATACATCAGTTGTATCAAGCATATTTGTACATATGTTGCCATCATCATTTTCTAGAAATTTACTTTATATTGAGTCCTTAGTATCAGCTCCTCTTTCCCCACCACCACCACCACCAACCCTTGTGACACTTTTATAAATTATTATTATTTTCCTATCTTACACCGACCGCTGTCTCCCTTCCCCCACGGTTTCTGTTGTTTATCCCCCTGGAAAGAGGGTGTGTGGTTATGTGTCAATCATTGCAATTGGTTCCCCCTTCTCCCCCTTCTCTCCCCACCTTGCCCTTACCCTTCTGGTATCACTATTCCCATTCCTGTTCCCAAATTCCGTGTATCATGAGGTCTTACGTCTTATCTGTACCTGTGCATATGCTCTGGTCTAGCCCACAGTGAAAGGTAGTACTGGGGTCATGATAGTGGGGGGTGGGGAAGCCTCAAGGAACCAGAAGAATATTGTGTTTTTAATCTGTGCTTTACTGTGCCCTGGTTGACTCAACTCTTCCTTGTGACCATTCTGTGAGGAGATGTCCCATTGTCTACAGATGGGTTTTGGGTCTCTGCTCTGATCCCCCTCATTCTCAATAATATGTGTGTTTGTTTGTTTGTTTGTTTGTTTTGGGTCTTCTGATGCCATTACCCAGTCTGACAACACCTCATGATCACACCGGCTGGTGTGTTTCTTCCATGTAGGCTTGTTGCTTCTCTGCTAGATGGACGCTTGTTTAACTTCAAGCCTTTAAGACCCCAGACACTATATATTTTGATAGCCAAGCACTGTCTTCTTTCTTTACCACATTTGCTTATGCCAGCATTTTGTCTTCAGCAATTGTTTCCGAAGATGTGGTAGTTACATAATCTGTTGTCAATTTGAGAGGATTCAGAGTGAAGGGATGGAGTTTAGCTTGTCAATCAGGTCGTAGCCTGATGACCTCTTCTGGAGGCACGAAGGAGATAAATAGCTTGC